TATATATATATATATATATATATTTTTTTTTATTAATTTTGTAAATTCTATTTTATTTAACTTGCACCTGATTTTTTTCTGTCTTTAATTAAAGGGTATTTAAACTTTCAAGCCAAACTTGTTAGAATAATCAGCAGCAACAATGCTAGACTGAACTTTGTATTTAATATTTAGTTTAATATTTCTAACTTACATCAGTAAGTAAAATTGACTCTGGATGTTTGAACTTTGCACTAAATTAATCCTACAAAAAAGGGCAAACAGTTTTGCACAGATTAAACTAAGTTTATATACTTGCCAGAATGAAATACTAATTTACTCCAAACACTTTAAGCACTAGAACCTGTTTGATATATTCTTTAGATAAATATAATTACAAAAAGAGCCCTCATTCCAACTGTTTTCTTTCTAAATTCTGCAAACAGGTGATTAAAAACCATAGAGTGCAAACAGATTCTCTCACCAATACCATGTCATAGTAAAAGGAGAATTGTGAACATTTCATGTTTTATTCTGACCATCCAACTGTGGTCAATATTAATATGATATTAGGAGCATGTGTGAGAGCGCTGCCACTATATGACAGGATTTTACCGTATTACAACAAAGATTTGTCTTATGGTGCTGTTTCTCTGCAGTAAGGAGGTCAGGAGCTGTTGCATGCTGCATAGAGTTAGCATGCTCTTCCATTACATATGTTGGTTCTCTTTTTCCAGCCGCAGTCAAAAACATGACTGTTAGGTTATACGGTTTCTACCCTTAAGTATGCATCAGTGGTGATTTCTCATTGAATAATAGGCAGACTAAACCTCCCCCGTTAATTTTGTAAAATTATTCGTAAAATATGCAAGGTCATAATTCATAAATGTAGTCATTATACTGCACTAAATATGCGCTATGGTGGTATGGTGTGTTGAGCATTAATCAGCTGTTTATTCTGCTCTCAGACCAAATCTCCCCTCTGCTCTGGAACAGCAGGACTCTGCCTGTCAGCCTGTATGAAAAATCCCTGTTGAGGTTTGAGCCTCGGTCTATGGAGGTAAGCAACGAGAAACTAGAGCTCTGATTGGATAACAATACAAAATATGTCATTTCCTGTAAGGCTAAACATCCTGGGGGGTCATTGGAGCAGGGGGTTGTAGTGAATACTGATTGGTAAACATTCTTGAGGATTTCAGACTGACCGTGACCAGATAGCGAGGAGGTTTTCCTCATGAGTCCACAGGGAAAAGTGATCATCGGTCAGAAAATTTGTCTTGTGCTGAACTCTTCCCGTGGTTTCTGGAGTTTATAATTTCAGAGTGCTTCAGAACAGCTATTTTCACCCGTTGTATTGATGTGTTTTATGTTTTTCAACATTTTTAATTCAATACATAACTTTTGGTTTTAATTAACACCATTGAGCCTCCCCTGTTTCAAAGAGCAGCAGCAGCAGCAGCCACTGATATGCATGTATGGTTGTGTTGATCTGTGTGGACCGGGTCCTCTGCACAGACAGACCCTGCATTACTCAACCACCACTATAGATAGGAACTTTATGCTTCTTCCTGCAGAAGACATTTTTAAAAAGAATATTGCAAAAAGGAAAGAATTTTTAAGATTCATGAGCAGGTGACCCCCCCAACATGCTTTAGTTGGTATGATTCTCTGAACCAGAGCTCTGAATTTTCTGCACATTTCTAAACACAACAGAAACCAGTGTAACAGAATTTACAAATATACTAGCACATAAAAACATTTAGAACACAGATTAAGAACTGACTTTAAGAACACTGTTAATATATCTCATTTTCTAAACAAATACAGTCATCAAATGCAGTCAATGAATGAATTCATAACATCTGCTTGTGTTCCAGTGTTTGAATGAATGAAATGCATTAAAACAGCATATCAGCACACAACTAATAGCATTTGGTAAAAAGCATCTGACTCAGGGGTTGTTCTTACCAAATTAGCTGCAGTCACCTCAGCGAATGACAGGCCCTGTGGACTGATGAGGATGTGATCCTGTTCTTTGTTGACACGCACCTGAGTCACAGGGAAGAAAGCAGGAGGCTCACACCTCAGTCCAACATTTTTGACCACATGACACAAAATGATTCCGGTCAGAATCCAAAAGCCAGTGTACTCTGATGCAAATGAAGTATATCTCCAGGATATTTTTACCTATTTAGTCTCGTTACTCAAATGTCAAACTCTGACATTTTAAGTGCTTGTCAGGTATTTTATAGTTAATTCATGTCAGCCTTCACACACTTGTAATTAAAAATCCCATATATGAATAACAACGAGTCAGAGCACCAAGCTCACATAAAGATATGCCAACGTATGTGATGCATAAATAAGCCACCGTGCAGCAAAGTCAGACGGTGAAGTTATACTCACAGTGATGTAGGAGCTTGTAAAACGAGCCCAGCTGAAGAGATCAACAAGCCTGTAGAGGGTGGCCAGTTTGCAACGGCTCTGTTTCTCTCCTTTGGCAAAGGAAGGAGACTCAATGCTGTACAAGTCATTAATTGGAGTTACCATCCCAAAGCCTGCAGAAAGACATAACACGTCCTGCACATCACTTTGTTTCAAAGCATTGCTTAACATGTTTACATCTACGTTTGGACAATTCGCCTCGTGTCAGCATCCCATATTTTACCAGAGTCAAATTAAAAAGTTAGTTATGCAATTAGATTAGTTCTTTAATTAAGCATGGATGGGTGAATAGGCGGTGGAAGGACAGACAAAAGGATGGACTGATGAATGGATAAACAAGCAATCTTTAAAACAATTTAGAAGCCAAGCAAAAATACTTTTATGGATTTCCTCCACTCTACATGACTCTTACTACATACAGGAAACTCCAGTCTGCACAGCTGGATGCAGCTACGAAGCTTTAAAAGGTCTTAGAATTCCCAACGTAAAACCAGAAGATATTTTGGGCTTTTTACTCCATATAAGGACATGTAATGATACAGAACCCAATCTCTTTTTATGACCACTCTGGCTTTCTAAAAGAAAGGTTTGCATAAACAGCTTCGCAACCACTTCCTTCATGGCCTGATTCGAATGTTTATGTCTTTTCTATGACCTCTGTTAAAGCCTCCCCCGAGGCAAACAGTCACACTAACAGAATTACCATAGCAAACTGCTCTAATTTCTTCCAAAGAGTGGTCATGAGGGGAGTAAACAATGAAGGATGTTGTCAACAACTTTCTGCTTCTTCTGCAGTTTCAGGGCTGTCGAGTGTCACAAGATTCTGAGAGATTTCCCTCCAACAATGAGGTTAATCAGTGTGCAGAATACGCTCATACACATGCGGCACACTTAGTGTCAACCTGACTCGAAGGGACGTAGACAGATTCTTTTGTAAACACAGCCACTCACTGATGGGTGAAGTCAAAGGGCCAGCTCCTCCCACGGTGCTGGCCATGACCAGGTCAGCAATCTGCCTCAGTGCCAGGAGACCTGAGGGGTTGTTGCCCTTCGTCATCTGGTCCTGAATCAGGCCCTCCAGCTCATCTTTAAACACCTGAAATCGAAGCAAGAAGGAAAAACAGTGCTGTAAAGCTCTGTCACCGTGACAACTGAGACAAACACAATCTTCACCTCATTCCAACACCTCCAGAGGATGTGTCCAGGGAGTTCTCCTTATTGCCACTGTACACAAATCACCAAAGGCTTATTAAAAGGCTCTTTGTGAGTCTGTGAAAAGGGGCTTCATTAAAAGAAACAAGGAGGAGGGGTGTAAAATAAACATGACTATCAAATTTTGCATCAAGAGTAGCAGTGAGTCCTAGAACAGCATTTTTGTTAGCTAGGGTTGAGCTCTGGTATTCTGCTCCATCCGTTCAGTTCCCATGGTGATGAATTACACTTGTTGGGCTTGTTATGCAACCAAGGATGAGTGTGGGCTCGTCTTATTTCTATCCACTTCACTGATATTTGTGCATTACACCTCCTTGTACTCCAGACTGTGCTGTCTTCAGTTAGATTGAGGTTAGCCTGAAATCTTATTAAATACAGATTTAATACTTCAGCTTGAGAAGAGTTTCTGAACTGCAATCAATGTAGGGTTGTTTTTTTTTTTTTTGTCTCACAAAAAACTGCTGCTCAATGATGCTCATTATCAAAGATTATAGAGAGAAAATACGTGGATTTGTTAAAATTGATCAGAAAACACCACTGAAGGATTTCCTGAAATTGTGTAGTCATATTAACAAACATAGAAAGGACAGATTGTTTTTTAAGAGGACAAAACCCAAAAGGTTATGTTATCTAGGACTGCAACTAATTATAATTTTGCTTCCTTATTTAATCTTATTTAAGATTCCTTAAATACTATTTTTTACAGAATTCAGCCAGGTGAAACTAAAACTTTTCCACTTGAGGAATGCTGGATAGAGCATATTGACAGACAATAATGTTTTTTTTTAGTGTTAAATGGCACAAATTAGCTTTTTTTTTGTTTGCTCTGTCAGCGAAAGGCATCTTTAGAGTCTCTATACTCCCGTTAACGATTGATTACTAAATTAGTTGATGATCATTTCTATAATCTATTAATCCTGATTAATTCAATTATTTGCACCAACCTTAATGTTATCTTTAAAAGTTTTTAACCCCCTGGTATCTTAATACATTACAGGAGTAATAGGTTGAACATGTTATGGAATTAAATGACTATTAGCTGAACTTAAATACATTACAGACCTAATCTTCACATTATTTGCACATCTTAATAAACATGCACACTTATTTGTAGGCACAAAGCTGATCTTCAGAGAAGGGGCAAAGTGATTTACCTATATCAATTCAGTAGGCAGCGTGCGCAAAGTTATTTGTGTTCATCAATATAAAGCCCATGTTCTAATGACCAAATCATGTAATTTTTGGGTGGAGGACATGCAGATGTTAAAATTTAAGAGATTTTCCAATCTGAAACTCAACTATAGCTGTAGTTTTTGCATCTTCTTAGCCCCTCTGAAGCGTTATCTGCTGTGAATCGGACTATGGCTCATGTCTCGGAAAGGCAGTGGGATTGGGGGGGGTCATCGATCAGTAATTACCTTTTCTAAAAAAATGTTCATTACAATTGGGCTGCTTATGAAAAGTGTACTAATATCTCATATCATAATTATTTTCTCATAATTATTGTCATCATTTCCACCAGTTACATGGCTGAGAACCTTGTTGTTCTTTAATGGCTGCTCTAATACTACCAGTATTACATGCAATATAGTCATTTAAATGGGCAGAACCAAACCAGTTAACAGATTTTAAAAGTTGCACAAGCAACCATTGTAGACCACCAGCAATATGCACACTGATACACACGAGAAAAAGAAATTAAACTTGCAGTTCAGCGCCCTTTATGTGGAATCTTTGTAGATCAGGCCCTTAGTGTTTATAGGAAAATTGTTAGCAGATACAATCAAGTAATGATTGACAATTTAGTAATTTGTATCTAAACCCTAACCCTTATGACTAAAGAGTGTCTAACATTGTATAAAACTTTATTATAACACTACGCAGTCACACAATCCCACACTCTAATTTGCATTTTTAAAGTCCTGAATCTGTTTAATTGAAAGTAAAAACATCTGTAACTGAGATGTATGGATGTACGGGTGCACAAAAGAATTGATGGGAATATTATCTATTAATAGTCTTTTTTCAATTCATTTCCAGAAAAAGAAAAAAATCTAATTTCAGTTTTTGAGTTTTCCCACTTATGTGAAAAATTTACAAATTTAAGTTTGTGTGGGGCAAGTAGAAACTGGAACTGGATAAGTCATGCTTGAAGCTGCCACAATAATATCAAGCTCCTTTAGTAACACTGCTGCACTCTTGGTGCACCAAGGAGTGTTATCGCAGATCCTTCCTCCCAGCAGTTGCTAGACTTTATAATCTCCCAGCAAACTAAAGGGCAATAATCTCGTTATATGACTTCTCAAATCTATATACCAGTAGTTTGCTGAATTTCAACATAGTGTGACTGAAGTTGAGAGAGACCAAAACATCGGCCTGCTGATTTATTTAGCTGACATTCGCATTTTTTAAAAATATTTTATCAATACTGGGCAATGTATGCATGCCATCACTCTATCATAAGTGCATTTAGCAGACATGTCTTTCTATTTAGTAAACTACATGCATCGGGTTACCTCCATTTGTTATCCATTGTTAATATTTTGTGTGATTTATTAATAAATATTTCTTTTATGTTTAAATTAGGACTTGTGTTACATCTTTTAAGTATTATCAAATTTTTGTGATGCAAGTGGAGGAAGTAGAAGTTGAAGAATCAGCCCAAAGATATGGATTGCATTTATCAGCGCCACTTATGCTAATGTTAAAATAAGAGGTATCGGCATCAATAAAACCAGTATCGGAGGTATTGTATTGTGCATGTGTGCAGGGAAGAAAGTTGCTAAGAAAGTTAGCACTCCCATAAAAACTGTAAAAAAAAAAAAAAAAGGCAATATAAAAGGTTTCTGTGGAAGGTGCTATAGTTCATAGGACTAATCAAGATCAGATTCAATTCAGGGTTCATCAACAATGCACTTACCAAGGAAATAGCCTTTTAATAGAGTTGTTGTAGATCGATTCATTTAATTAACACTGGTTGGTCTTTGACCATAGCGAACTGTTGTTTTACTGCGGGGCCTTTCAGGATGATCGAGGTTTATTAAATAGCTGAGTAAATTATGGCCATCTAGCTTTCTGACAGTTCCTCAATACTGCAGGCAGGTGGAGCAGCACTCACTGCTGGAATTCTATTTAGGCATTTATGCTGTAATTATAAAACGTAACTAAAATTCTTTATTCATGTGTTTACATCCCTACTGTAATTTTAAGTTTTTTCTTTTGCACAGACCTTGCTGGTGTTTTTTATGCACCTTTACAGACAGATATGTTACAAATCTTTTTTTTTAATCTTCCTACTTATGTCTACTATATTTATTATTCTGTTACAAACTTGGTTGCTAATTTGTTTCTAAAAAAAACCCTAATATCCCTAGTGAGGGACAATAAATGAATATTCTATTCTCCTCTGAATATGAACTTGGGTTCACACTGAAGAAGAGTTTGGACTCGGCTGATTAACCCTTTATAGGGCACTCAGTGAAATACTTTGAAAATCAATGTTTCAAGCCAATAGTGTTATTGGAATCCAGAGCAACACCTTATTACCTTTGTAACATTCAAAAAAATATGCATATTTTGATGGAAAAAATTTATGTCAATGTAATAACAAGAAACGCCAACTTCCCGAATATATTATATATAAGAAAAATAACAAAAGTGCTTCTATAAGAATTTCATGAAAAACACTCAGATAGCGAAAGAAAAACATTTTTCTTTTGGTACAACATAACCAGAGGCATTAATGCTAATACTAGCATTTACATTTTTTAGTTAATAAATCTAAATAAAAGTGTAAACTTGGCTTATTAACTTTTCACCTTTTTTTTCTTAACTTGATAACTTATTTTTCAACTTAATTTAACCTAACAGTCATATTTTTGCACTGTGGGAGGAAGCCGGAGTACCCGGAGAAAGAACCCACGCATGCACAGGGAGAACACGCAAACTCAATACAGAAAGACCCCAGGCCGGGAATCAAACCCGAACCTTCTTGCTGCAAGGTAACAGTCTTACGCACTTCCCCACTGAGCATTTACATTTTTACCTTTTTTTCTTAACTTGATAAGTTTTTTTTTTTTTTTTTTTTTATTGATTTACAGTAGGTAATATATCATTCAAGGGCTCTTCTAATTGGTCAAATGCCAAAATAAGACGTACAGCCATGTAACAGCATCTTTGCTGAATGGCTGGATATAGATCTTGTGTTTCTAGACCTCACTGAGGAATGGGGGGACTCAATGTGTAAGGGGTATGCAAGTGATCAAAAATGCCATCTTGCCCTATAAAGGGTTAACAGTCATATCTCACAAGCTGTAATAAAAACACAGCTATACGAAATACAAGACTCTTTAGTTGTCACAACATTTGATCTAATGTTTTTTTTAAATAACCAGACATAAAATTTTGAAGAGCCAAGTCATTATTTCTGTCAAGAACAAGAAAAAAGTGCTGTGAGACTTGTTGACCAACAGTGTATAGCAACATGTGGGGGAGGGGATGTGATGAATCCCACCAATCTTGTCACTTTTGCACTTTTACAATTGAATTTTGCAATATAGCTACATCTGCACCACATAATAAAGTGACAAACGTTTTTGGCAGCATTTCATTGCCATCTTGGCGTATATACCATCTGTAAATACAGCAGCTTTTTAAATATGGAAAAGAATGCATTTCACTGCTTCTCTGGCTCTAACAGCACTGTTCATTACTCATACACAGCGAAAGCCTCTGTGTGGGAGGAAAGCAGTCTCATGCAGCTCTGTTCTACGTACTGGACTCTGCAGGATGTGGGTGACCCTCTTCTTCTGCTCCATCATGTTGAAATCCTGCCTCAGGTCTGGCGACAGGGTCCTGCCTCGCTGCGACTCTGGGTTGCTTTCCCCCATGCTATCCAAGTGGTGCTCTTTGGGGTCATTGCCAGACAGGGGCAGGGTCAAGGACCCTGCGGCCCTCCTCACATCCACCAAACTCATGTCTTCTCCTCAGTGGTCTCCTATTTAGGGGGAAAAAAACAAAGGATCAGCTCACCTCCACTCAGTTTAAAGCTGTCAAGGCAACCTGTGTTATTTTAGCTGCAAAAGAAACTGTACTAGCTGCAGCGGTGACTCATGTAATTACATGATATAGACAAAAGAGAGGAGAACATTGTTATTTGACAAATGCAGATTTGTGCAAAGCTCCATTAGTCAGAGATGCTTTGGAAATGATGCAAGGGACTTTTAGAATACCAAAACATGGCCCAAATAAGAAAAACATGATGCATTTTAATCGCAGAGCAATTTACCACACAGAAGTTAAGCTTTAAAAGCACCCCTGTAAAGCATGGTGGACGGTAAACAAAGGTATGGGCCTCTTGTAAATGAGCTCATCTGGAAAGCAGTTAGTACCTGGATGTGGGGGTGGAGGTAGGAACCAGCCTTTACATAGGGCCTGCGTAAAAAGTTGGATTAGTGCACTAAAACAAAGCAAACGACGCAGCAATCATTTTTGCAACTTAAAAAAAAAGGATAAAAACACATAAGATGATGCACAAACAAGTGAAGGAAACAAAAACAAACTCTCACGCTGAAAATGACCTCTAAAAAGTCCCTCCAACTCTCCCAGGACGGCGTGATGTGGACTTTCTCCAACAGAGGCTGGGATAAAGAGCAACAGCACGGCTGTTAATGTCGATCCGGATTCATTGGGATGGGAAAAAAAGTAAACGCAGGAGGAAAAAAAAAGTGCGTGAGGCGCAAGTTGTGCTTACAGGATCCAGAAGGAGCCGGACTGCGCGCTGCGGCTCTCAGTGCGAGGAGTGAGGAAGAAGCGCGGCAGCATGGAGGAGGATGTGGGTGTGTTTGTGTGGGAAAAAAGGAAAAGTGACCATGTGACTTCACTTATCCACCCACCATCGGACCCTGGGAGCGGGACAAAAAAAAAGCAGCGCTAGATGTGGTACTGATTTTACAACTACATGCTGAAGCTGCGGGGGGAAAGCAAAGGATGGATTTGCAACCTGCTTTCAATCGATTTTTGCAGCATGCATCCTAGAAATAACCATTAAGCAGCTTGTTGAATAAAGAAAAAGTTTGTAACTTCCTTATTGTTTCTGAAAAAAATGCAAAAACGATCTAAAAATGAGCAAATATGTCTTAAATGTAGTATATTTTCCATTAATTTGAGTAGGTAAATAAGGAATTTGTATTTTTAGTTTTAAAATAAGATAATTAGATCATATACACTTGAAATAAGACAATGCAATTGTGTTTTCCTGTTTTAAAGATATATTGTCCGTATCAATTACCCCCTCATTTCAAGAAAAAATGCACTTATTGCAAAAATGTCATTTTTTTTTTTGTTTTATTAGCTCCTGCTGCTTCATTTCATAACCAAGACTGCTGTCTGAGAAGCTCATCCAAGCTCTATGGCTCTAATGTGTTAAAACAGATGGCTGTGAGCCCACAGCATGATTCCCTCTAAAGTTTTTTAGATGTTTTCCTGACCATGTTTATGTACCTAACATAGTTCAATAAAAGTAGCTTCCCCTTTTAACTTGTACAGGTGTAGTGATAATAACAAGAGTAGGAACGTTAACAGTTGAAGTGTTGCAAAGACTGTGCATTAATGCTTTCTCTAAACATCTTTTTAATCTACCTTGAACCAAAAAAAATGACATGATTAGCTACCTGAAGAATTATCGGAAGAAAATTTATTTTTGTATTTGGATTTACCAAATGTAATGTAAATGCTTGACAGATATAAATCACATGTCTTAATCTTCTGGATGCTGAAAGTACATCTTGTTTTTTTTTTTTATTCATGTTTATATAGAAAATTTATGTGAATAAAAGTCAAACTTCTGACATGGACTACCCAGTCTTTGAGAAATCAGCCGTTAATGTAGAATATATATTATATGAAGTATAATATATAATATATAGTATATATATAATATATGTAATACTGCCTTTTCTGGTTTCCAAGATACCCTTTGGTCTGATAATCAAGCTGTTTTTGTGCTTAGCTGCAACAGTTGAGGCCAGTCATTTCAGATGTGCCTCTTCCATGTTTTTGTACATTTTTAGCATCTGATATCTTTAACTGACTATACAGATATTCTGTTTTCAATCATAATCCTTATTAGCAGACAACTATTTGTTTTTAGCATAACAAATATTTTGATCAGGGTAAAATATCAAGGCATCTGTTCCTCTTGGAAGAGTTTGTACCAGCCAAATGACTATGTTCCAGCAAATTTACAGACACAGTGAATGTTTCTCTGAGTTTGAAACACCAAATCAGTGTGACTGAAAAGCAAAAACGCTTTCAGTCCAATGTGATTCGGTTTTCTTGGAAAAAACAGGACAGTTGCATGTGAAGAAAAATGCCTGCAAGTCTACACATTCTGTTTTTCCATACAATTTCAAGAAAACTTTTGAAATGTCACTAGAAGAAAAGGCTAATTAGCCGTGTTTTCTCACAAGACTGCATTAACCAGGTTAAACACAATTTTGTCTAAAGTGAATATTATGTATGACATAGAGGTTGCAAAATAGCAGAGACACATCTGAGAAATATGGAGCAAGTTTTAAATGTTCTGTCAAGTCAACTAGTATTAGTGATTTAACATGCTGTGGAGACATGGACAAAGAAAGGCTATTTTAATGACAAATGGATGAAGTTGTGGAAACATTATTTCCAAAAAAGCCTTGCTAATGTGATGTTTCAACCAGTCCATCTTTGGTTTTGGCAGATCGAGGCAGCCTCTTATATTTACAGTGTGTCTCACACTAGGTCTAACCTTGTGATGTTTCAGTAATTAAATACAAATTACCTTCTGCAGGTACTCATAAAAAAATACATACTCACAGCTTATGCATTGCTTTTCATTTATATTTGCTGGTGATGCTCCTTACTTTGTTCCCGAACTGTTGCTCCTTAAAAGCTACTGTACTTCTCCAAAAGGTTTAACATTTTTATTCTACTACTTGGCGTTTCTCCTCACCATCTCGAGGTTGGACTCCCCAATCACAATGTTAAAACTTTTAGGCCTTACTCTACCTTCTGTATATATATATTTAAAAAAATTAAGATAGTCATTAGCAAATCCTGCTGTAACGGGCTAAGTGTTTTTATAAATTTATGAAAAATGTACCAACCTTTAAATGTGTAAATTAAAAAATAAGCATTATAACAGACATGGCTTCTTTAGGCAGGTGATAACTTACTAAAAAGCAAAGCAATCTCATCCCTTGCACATTTCTGTTTTCAGTTTTAACAGGCAGCCTCTGTGTCATGGTTTTTGTTTTCTT